TGGTCTAATTCCTCGGTACCTATGTTTAAATATTCTCATTATCACCAATGACCTAGGAACCCTGTTCCCCACTCTTCTTTTATTTACAATAAAAATAGTACGCCACTATCTTAATTACAAAAAAACATGTTACTTTTAAGTTTTGATTATTTTGAACAAATAATTATATTATTCTTTGAAATTTTCTATAAAATGCATCGTATTTAAGTACCTAATTGTTCATTTAAAATATCTCTGCAATTCGTAGTTTGTGCGTGGCGAGACTTACAATGCCTGACAACCACCTAATAATCCAAAATAATAACCTCCTTTGTTTATTTTTTTGGAAACCACCAATCAAGAAAATAATTAGTATAGAAGAATGACTAAAATTAACATTTTAATTGTTTGTATAATTGTATAATATTTACTGCTTTTATTTATTAATGTAGGTTATGTATTATGTAACTGAAAAATTTTTGCGAAATGAATAAGTCTATGTATTGTATATTATACTGGTTTCAAGTACTTCCATAATTCCTAATTCCTGGATGATTCACTAGGTCACAGACCAACAAAATTTAACTTTTTTTTGGAAGCAGAAACTTGAATATATATTTTCGAAGGATTTATATTTGAGGTTATATAGTAATGCCATTTATTCTTTTCCAAAAAACTAATACATTGAATCTAAAAGTACAAGGCTCCCTCCTTCGAATGCCGTTGAGTTTGCTTAAATATCTTTTTTTGTTTCGTTGAGATATCACATGTTGAAATTTCTAAGTTTATCAATTTCTTAATATGCGAAAATCTACTAAGGATCCCTTAGACATCAAGCAGTCGATTGTAATTCAGAAACTTCATACCCATACGGTTTGTGGGTTTGGAGTTGGTGTGCTTGGGGTTTGTAAGCTTGGAGTTTGTAGGTTCGGGTATTGTGGGATTGGGGTTTGTGGGTTTAGGGATTGTGGGTTTGGGGTTTGTGAATTTGGAGTTTGTGAATTTGAGTTCGTATGTATTGAAAGTTTCTGAGTATGAAATTTCTGAACTGCAATCAACTGTTTGACGTATAAGGGATCCTTAGTAGATTTTCGCATATTGAGAAACATTTCAACATGTGATATCTCAATGAAAAAAAAATATTTGAGCAAACTCAACGGCATTCGAAAGAGGGAGTCTTGTACTTTTAAATAATATGTATATTTTTTTAAAGAATAGATGGCATTACTACATAACCTCAAATATGACGAAAAACAGGGTTTTTGCACTTTTAGGTTAGGATATCCAAAAAACCTGACGTGATAAAGCAATTCTGCGGCCAGATTCGGATTCAGCGCACCAAAATCCGTCGGGAATGCATATTAGTGTGTCTGCTTCTTGACCCTTGTTGACCTGTGAATCTATGTAGATAATTTATACATCCCCAAAATAAGTCAAAGCATTAAAATGCGGCCTGGAACTGGTAAATTGAAAAGATGAGTAGGTATAAACTTCGAAAATTACAACTAAGACATATGCAGTGTTGTAACTTTGAGTTACATTTTGATAGAGGCTTCATTTGACCAATAGTTTATTTTTTCAAATTCCGTCGTAATTTTCGTACAACGCAACCACGCCGCTGGAGAAGCTATAAAAAATAGTGTAACCTCAAACAACGGCGCGCTTTAGTCGCAAGGCATGCACAATTCCAAACCACTCGCCGCGAGTTACTTTTGTTGAGGGTGTTCTTAAGCTAAGAAAATATTGGAAATTTTTATTAAAATATGTTATTTACTTAAACTTTAATTTTGAATATTTAAACACTACTTTATTTAAAAAAAAAACGATGGTAGTAAATTAAATATTTATAATACCTGTTTGAGAAAATAAATTAAAATATATAAAATTTTATGTTACAAAATAATACAATTACATATTTTAAACATTTAGCTCTTGAATTTTAAATAAAAAACATAATTTTTACCTATCAGAATCAGAATAAAAGTTTAACAGTGCAGCTAATTATATGTGTAACGCATCAATTTTACATAGGGGGAAGCAAAACGTTTTTAATTTTATAGGTTTATCCATTGAGTACCCACAGAAAGCTTATTTTTGACAACCTTGAAGACTCATTAATAAAGTTATTGACAAACTTTCAAAAAACTCGATATTATGTTTTATCTAATTCGTTGAATTTCTTTACTTTTTTAGTTATTTATAATTTCTTTTACAAATTTCTCTTGTATTAAAAGGATTTTACCAAAAATATTTCTACATAAATTTAAATCATTGTACATATTTGTACCTACAATTTATATTTATCCCATCCTCCCTCTTATCTTGCCCCCCTAGCCCATTGGCTGGCAACGCCCTTGGTGTTCACCACACAAACAGTACTTAACAAGTAACCTATCAAAAAACTCCAGCAGTAATCAATAATGATAAATGAAATGCAAAAAAATAAAAAGTGTATTGATGGTTTCCAGCGCTAAAATACATTCAAATTCGCAGTTAGATGTAGTCTCCAAATGCAGAACAACAACTGAAATTATTCGCTTCGTCACCGTTTACCGGCACTATCTCCCTTCACATGCATTGTCCATTGCCTACAATTCATGTATTTATTTTAATACATGATTACAGTGGCGGCATTCACGTTTTAAAATGCATTTTAAAAAACTAATTATAACTCGCTATTTATTTGATAAAAAAAAGAATTTCAGATTCGTATTAGGAGAGCACACGTAGGTACTATTGCCCCTAAAAAATTGACCCCCACTTAAAGTTGCAACCTGTATATAGGCACAGTAAATCATATTATTTCAAATAAAAACACCAGAATAAGTAAACGTTTTAAGGCGATTAAAGTTGTACAATTTTAAAATTCTAAAATTTTAAATATTGCTTATTACCAGCAGTTTCTTCTTGTATCACTGATATGAATAAGATTTACTATTTTCCGCAATAATTCTTTGGCTGACTGATTTGAAATGAAATTAATCTTCATATATTAAATTCTATAAGAATTAAATTAAAATCTAAATTTAAATCTTCGATCCGACTTTGAAGTGAGAGAGAAATCCAAGTAATCAGAATAAAATAACCGAGCCTAACATAACCTAAACTTAAAATTATAATTAATAATAATAATAAAATTAATCGCTCTGCTGCTTCATATGCAACAACATAAAATAATTAACAAAAAATTGATAACGAGCAGAATATCACATTTATTCCCCTTCAGGTTTCTTGCTATTCTGATTTATATGTGTGGATTAACATAGAAAATTATATTAAACCTGCTATTTTTTTAGGTACCAACTTAAAAAAAATTGACATTATTTAAAACTCCTTTGTTTAACTTACTATAATTTTTTCTCAGTTATTACAGATTACAGGAAAACCTATTTTTTCGTACAAAAATGATTTTTTGTGACATTATTATAGAAAATATTAAATGCATAAAAAATAAAATAATTAAAATACACGAAAATTTACCAGAAATTGTTATGTTTATATACTCATTTGTTTATTTATTTATTTTTTTGTTTTTTCATATAAATAAACCTGCAAAAATTGGTTAGGAGGTACTTTGAGGGGTGTAGATTAACATCTTAATATGATATTTCTAATAAAAAATAGAAAAGTATAGAATTTCTCAAAAACTCGTACCTAAGAAAATCTTATCAGGGGAAATATGTATTTGCAAATGTAAGGAAATTATATTTTCCAAATATTTTTGGAGTCTATTTAACTAAATATATTTGATGCTTATATTTTTTACGCAATGTGTGGTTGGTGAAAATTAAAGAGGTTATAATTTGATGATAAAACGTTGGAACCATCCCATTTTTTAGGGGATGACCACATAGATAATTCTTAGGACAAACAAACACAAACACTTTTCTGAACACAATAAAAAATTACGTTAAGGGTTGGCAACCCTGAGATCTCGAAATTATCGACTGATAGATACAAATAACCACTTACCTATTACTTTTCTCAAAATTTTAATTTTTGATAAAGGTGCGGCATTAGGTATATGGTTTAAAAATATAAAATATTAAAATTAAAATTTAATAGGTGTACCTAATTACTACAAAGAAAATTTAATTTTGTGAAAAATAAAATAAATCATCTATTTGCATTTTTAGTTAGTAGTATGAGAGAAATTGTTTCGCCCATATATATATATATATATATACATANCGATTTTGAAAAAAGTTGTATATACATAGTACATATATATATATATATATATGTACTATGTATATACAACTTTTTTCAAAATCGCAACCTGTATGTTAATTTTGTTTGAATTTTTTTGTCATGAAAGTTCTCTATGTAGAAGAATAGAAATCATTCCCAAAATTATGATATGGCCCCAGGCTTAGTTTTTAAAATATCACTTCAATTTTCAGCAACCGCTACTGGCATGTACTTACATCCATATTTCGGGATACTCTGTATATTTGTGTCTGTGACTCAAAATAGTAATATAATTAACTTTTAGTGGAAGTGGACTTTAGTGGTACATGGATATGTACAGGTCTAATGAAGCAAAATTAATGTAACACTTGAGGAAATTTTAAAATAAATATAAATATATTTCCTGGTAAATAAATGGGGCTAGCATGTTTAAAATATATCTCGTCCGTGAGGAGGGGGAAATTTACCGAATTTCCTCAAAATATATAAAATTACATAAATTAACATATACATATATAAATAAATCCTTTAATAACTTTGTATAAAGGTAAATGTATTCTAAATTTATACGCACTTTTATTAAAAGTTAGAGCTACCTGTATTGGACGAATCGTTGGTGATTTATTTTTAAATCATGCATACCTCTATTTAAATACACATAATTTTGAAAACAAGAGTCCTGAAAGTAATTTAAAATATTTGTTACAATCGATTTGTTATATTTTTAGCTCGTTACAGGTTCAGCTGTACTTAACCGGATTGAAATATTTGAGGGAACAAAGAATATATATTTGACACAATTAATACTGAAATGTATATATAACACTTACTTGTCTTTTTCAGAACCACCAACTAAACTGCTGGATGTATGCAAAACGATATGCTGTTAGTCTCAGGCAAATCTCTTCACTATGCCGAGGCACCGACTATTTTTTTCTGACGTATTAAATCGTTCGGGTGGGGTTCTGGATATTTTAATTTTGTTGATATTAGCAAATATTCTGCCGCTTGCATAGTATGTACTAAAGCCTTCTCCCGTGCAAAAATGTGTACCTATAGAATTATTTTTATGTACCTAATAGGTATTATTTAGCTGTATTGTCGGTACCTACGTTTTCAACAAAAACATCTTTTAGTCTAGGTATTGCTGATATTATTATATACATATAATTTATAATCATATTTTTTTAAATAATTATCTAAATAATTACTTATAGATATGTAGCACTCTCATGTGTAGATACCTATGTACAATAGGTACCGGTACCTATGTATTGTTTACCCAACCTAATGTATTCTTCCACGAAAAATGTATAAAAATTACAAAAGTACAAATTAAAGGATTATATTATTTGTTAATTTTTTACATCCTTTGTAGGCCCAATTGTCTTTTTTTTCTTTATTTAGCATTTACTTGTTAGATTAATTTTGTTTAGCATTATACTGTTTTTATATTTATTTCTAAAAACTATGCCACATGCAAATCTCATAATGAGGCTTCTTGCAAAATGACTATAAATAGACGTATGAACAAATCCCGGTATTTTGAATAATGGATTACTATGTTTGGTTAAGTTATTTACAGTCGGTGCCAAAAAGTTTGAACTAAATGAAACTATTTTATTTATGATGGTGAACAATTTTCCTTGTCTGAATACCAAATAAGGGCAACATAGATATACCGGTCGATTTAGGAAAAATTGGAATTAAAAGAGCCAAAATTAAAAATGCATTTTTCAAAAAGTAAAATCAATATTAAAAAAAATTGCAATATTTACTTTTAACATTATTCTCCTTTTATTTTTGATTTAGGTTGCTTCCATATTCTTTTTTTTTAGCTGGAGTACACGCAATTATCAATATTACTTATAAATGTAAAAAGTTAATACCTTTTCCAACAATGAAGTTTTTTATAATCCGATCGGAGAAAAAATATCTGCTAACTGTATGTTATAACTTTTTTATTGACTATAAATCCTTATGCCGCGTATAGATTTGCGAGCTGAACGGCTCATGAGCTGCTCGTAAGACGCTCGTGGAAAAAATGAATGCCCGAGCCTCCCAGTGAGCCGGCATTGCTCGCGAGCAGATCCACCGCACCATTCAGTTTCTGTATTCATTTGAAAGATGTCTGAACAAGAAACTTTGTTTGCTATGATTGTTCTAAGTGGCGCAGGTATAAAAGTACGTCTTCATCCGGCCAGGCCGCCATAGTTTGATGTTTGATTAAAAAAGCACGTCCACACTAAGCATCCCTTTGAGCTCGCTGAAATAATCAACACTAGTCGACTCACAGCGAGCGGCTCGAGGTCGGCGCGAACTACGCTCAAAACCCCGTCTACACTGGCAACACTAGTTACGTGAGCGGTTGATGAGCCGCTGAGCCCGCAAGTGCGCGCCTTAACGTGGTAAATTACACGGAACGACAATTTTTGTTTTGTTTTTTAGTTCCAACTTATCATTTCTTATAGATTTTGATGTGCTGAAACCAAATTTGAAGAGTAAAAAAATTTTCCTCGTTTAGATTTTTTGTAATCGCAGGGACTTTTCTATATAAGGAATAGCGACTCTCTCCCGATGACTGATTTCCTATGTATTTTTAGGGAATGAACGCGAATCTGATGCCCAAAAACCCTAAAAAGAGCCAAAAAGGGCAAAAAAAATTATATTGAAAAAAGAACTGTAAGGTTTGCTGTGTGTTTACTCATGTATTTTTGGGCGCTCAATATAAATCCGATGTGTGTTTTTCAAGAATAGCCTAACCTGACCTAAATAGAATAGGTAAATATAAGTTTTAAGTTTAAACATTTGGAAAATTACAATTATCGCTGTCATAATTATCATAATTATTTAGATATCACGTTGAAAATGTTATTATGTCAAATGGAAATTCCAGAATAAGTAAATATGATGTAATGAAAATTACAACCTTAGCAAAGCGTTTTAAAGATGTCTATTTCTAAATTCTAAAATTTGGAATATTACTTATTACCAGCGGTTTCTCCTTGATTTATCAGTGATACAAACCGTATTTATCATTTTTTCCGCAGTATTTCTTTGACTGACTTACTTAAATATGAAATGAAATGTATTTTCTTCTATTAACTGATTAAAAATGAAATTAAGATCAAAATTTAAATCAAAAAATAGTAACTAAAAACTAACAAACCGGGATACATTTTTTATTCAATATCGAAAAGAGATTACATTCTATGCATAAAAAATTGAAAAAAAAACAATGGCCTACGCACTTTTTTTAATACCCTATTTTTATTTGAGACATTTATGCTATAAAAATTTGAGATAAAGAAATCAACTATTTTATTATCAAAAAAAAAAAATAAAATTCAACTCATATACGTGTGTTCCACATAAAAGTCCTCAGCCTCGTATCTTGGCAACAGAAAGAGAAACTTGAATTTTTCAAAGCAAATTGCAGATGGCGGAAGTCGAAAGAAATTTTTCGTTGGCAGGAATTTTGTAACAAGGTTTACCCGATACTTTGTTCAATTCTAAATAATTTTTGTCAATTGACTATTTTTCAAATATGTAATAGTTTCAGAGATATCGGGCTCTTCAGTCGGTGAGGTCTAAACTCAAACGTATTTTAGATTTCGACTTTACACAATGGAATAATAATTGTAAGATTCGATCGACTTACCTGTAAGGAAGATCAATTTCAATTATTGGAGCATCGTAGTTCTTCTATGATTCATGTTGGTAGGTCTCACTTATACATGACGCGCGCACAGGTTTAAAGGAAAAAAGTGTTTCGTAACAGTCCGTTACTACTTATTGATAGCCAGCCAGTTTATTTTGTGACCGAACCAATCGCGCTGTGGGTAAAAAAAAGAGTGGCGGGTGGGCCCCATCATAGAAGAACTACGATGCTCAAATAATTGAGATTGATCTTCCTTACAGGTAAGTCGATCGAATCTTACAATTATTTTTCGCATCTCCGTTCTTCTATGATTCATGTTGGTAGATGTTTAGAGTAAACAATTAGCGCAATTAAGTGCAGTCAAAAAAGTTTATAAATTATTTTATAGTTTTATGATAAAAGTTTCTCAAGTAAAATAAGAAGTACTTATATTTTATCAAATTATGACAATCAGAAGAATTAGTCGCTTCTTCTCCTTACTGTTTTCATATTTGATCTAAATAAGTTTTTTAAAACAAACCTTTTTTTCCAGTTTTCCTTTATTATTGACCATATATTACTTATTATGTATCATACATTATATATTACATATTATATATCAAATACTGTATACCATACACCATATACCACATTCTATATATCATATGACTATACTAATATCATATATTATATACAGGTATACACGTACATACATATGTACACACATATTTTGTTATGCCTAGGTCAACATTTTCGTTTCGAAGAACAATGTTGTAATAATGCACAATTCTGGTTCATTTTATAATAAAGAAAATATTAGAAAAATACTGTTTTTTACTATAGAGTTCGACAAAAGNACCGGCTGGTGATTAATGTAATTTTTCACATTTTTCACAAGGTTTAGGGATTTTTAGTTGACAGTAACAACTGTGCAATGTTGATTGTCTAAGCTCAGCCGTTATGTGGCTTGCAATCATTATTTTTAAAGACTGAACTAGAAATCGTTATAAAAATTGCAATGTTATTGAAACTCTGTCGATCAGCGCTCTCGACTCCACTAGTTCTGAATACGTTCACAGTTTTTTAAGTAAAGAAAGTATTTATTTATTTATTTATTTATTTATTTATTTATTTATTTATTTATTTATTTATTTATTTAAGGACAAGGGACAAACACAGGCTTTATAGCCCAAAACAATGTCCACAAATTACTTAAAGCTAATAGAATATAAAAGTACAGAAAAGATTATTATAATAGAAAATGTTAATTTACAATAATAGTTCCATTTAAAAATCTTTGAAAACTAATGAGCGAAATATGAAAAATATCTAGAGTACTACAGTATAAGTTAAAATGTCTGCATATTCTGTTTATAGGAGAATTTTGACCAGAACTAGTTCGATAAAAAGTCTCATGAAACAGTGCATTTACTCTAAAATCATGTTGTGGTACATGTAAACAGATCAAAGCTAATAAATCTGGGGAATCGATAAAATCATTAAGAAGCTTATACAAAAATACTGTTTCGGCAATAATTCTTCGATTCTCCAATGAAATAATATGATAACGATTTCGTAACATATTGCTACAATGAAAAGAATACACACCACTCTCCTTGTAGTGTAAATATCGCATAAATCTGTTCTGTATGGCCTCAAGTCGAGACTTATATATGGTATATTGAGGACTCCACACGATAGATGCAAAATTAATTATGCTGTGAACGTATGCAAAATATACAGACTTAATAGCAAAAATCGACCTAAAATTTTTGCAAACTCTGACGATGAAACCAAGCATTTTGTTGCTTTTTAAAGTTATATAATCAATATGTGAAGAAAAACTCAATTTCCTGTCAAATACAACCCCAAGATCTTTTATTTCTTCAACTTGATTTAAAATATTCTTATTAAAGTTATAATTATTAGAGTATATATTATGGTTACGGGTAAAACAAATATAGAAGCATTTACTTAAATTTAATTGAAGCTTGTTCGATTCACAGTATTCAAAGAAAGAGTTTAAATCTTCCTGGTAGGCAATACAATTATCGGAATTATTTATTTGAGAGTAAATTTTCAAATCGTCTGCATAAAGTAAAAATTTACAAAATTTGAAACAATGACGGATATCGTTGATATATATTAAAAATAGTAAAGGTCCCAAATGTGATCCCCGAGGAACACCTGACATTGCAACGTAGGGGGGAGTTTTGTAACCACTAATAGTTACCAATTGCGACCTGTTGAAAACATAAGAGGTAAGCCATCTCAGTAGGTT